GAAGCCTGAAGTACTGAGGCTTGTTCACCTGTCTACTTGAAATTTTTTCTTTTGCTTCATTTTAACTAATTCTAAAAATGTATCTATAAGCCAGAGAACATTTTTTTTTTCTTAATGAAGCTAATTGTTTCAGCTGTGGGCTGCAAGCAGTGTTCCTATTCCAGAAGGAGAACACTGTCAGATTCTAAATGTGACTGTGTACCTTAGGTGTAAAATTGTGCAGTAGCTCATAATTGTATGGGCTGCCACTACAAAGCTAGAAAAAGAAAAAAAAGGTGGAAAGACAAAGCATTAACAGCAGAAACATCCTAGGACTCAGCAGTTTTTTAAGATCAGAGACATATTTTTGGTAGCTATTTATATTTCTGAACTTTCCTGTCTTTAACTACCTTTAAGATGACTGGTTTTTGGGCAGCACGGTGAAGATGCCACATTGCCTTTTTGTCTGTTTTGATGAACTAAAGCATCCCAATGCAAACGGAAGCACTGGAAAACATAAATGATACAGAAGTTACTCAAATACTTTTTCCAATCTCAGCACTTGTAGAAACAAGGTGGAAAATACCTCTGTAATAGATACCTAATTGAAGGTGACCTATCTATGGTGACCAAAACAATACGGCCTGTTCTCTCTTTTTCCTTCCCTCTCCTTTCCTTGAGGGTTCCCTCATTCCTTCCTCACCAATAAGCCAACTTGCACTTCTTCCCATCACACAGCAGACCTGCATCTTGCTCTGAGAAAGGAGACATGCACAGTAGGAGGAGACACTGGGGACACTCCAACCATGCGACAGCCAAGCAGCCCATGACCTGGAACTTTTATTTGATCCAACACTTCTCAACAAACAACTGGCATCACTGGTCTAGTTTAAACCTTGAATGGTGCCCAGCTATGGACATTTATCTTCACACATGTGATATAGTATGTTTACCCAAATTTTAGCCCCTTCAGACCCAAATTTGGCTCTAACAGTGGCAAAATTGAGTTTTGAAGAAAGACAGGCCTCATTTGGATGCAGTGAGCCAGAAATAAGTTGACAGAACACAAGAAACAATTTCAGGGTCAGCACATAGTGTTGCTTACTCCTGCTTCTCTACAAAATCACTTGTGTTAAAGGAAATTTCACATCTCCTTTAAGAAACTACAATTGCTGTATTTTAACTACAAAAGCATCCTTGGCTAATAAAATAGGCTTACATGTATAAATTTTATTGCAGCTTGTTTGCAGGGAAATCTTAACCCTAAGGGCTCAAGCCTATTTTTGCCTGCTCTGAACCACAGCCTTGAATCTTCAGCACACTTTGCACCTGCAATATCCCATTAAATAAGGACAGTGCTACTGCTCAAGAGTGGCAGAGGCAGAAAGCCAAGGACCAAGAGGGAAGTTCCCTTGTTTGGTTCAGGGGGGTACACCAAATCTGAGGTGGATGGAAGGACTGAAGCAGATTGTGCCAGTTTGATGTAGTCATCAACAAAACCATGGGACAGGGCTTTCTCCTTTCCTACTTCTCAGAGATAGGATGGCTGCCAAATGCAAATAATATTTTCTTGCTCAAGGTTGGTCTTAGTGTTTCCACTCTGGATATGACATGAATGTTCTCTCCTTCCTTCACAACATACACTGCCAGCTTGAACAAACCTTGGCTTACTGTTCTGCCTTTCCCCAGTGTTCACTCTTCTTTGCCCTCAAATGCTGAAAGGACTGGCAGCCTGCTTTCCTCCCTTGGATTTTGCTGAGTACTTTCTGGCTGTTATTCTGCCCTGGTAAAACTCAGAGCAACTTCACTTTTCCAGAGTTTTAGAGACAAGTCCTTTTACTAGCTTTCTTAGTTTTAAGTAAGTATACTAAAGATTTCCAGAAGATACTATCAAATTAGCCTGCATGGAATAGGAAACTTGCCCACTAGTGTCAGGTACGCCTGTCAGGTATTGCTCCTGTGCCTCTGTGATATTTTATGAAAATCCTTTGCTAGGATTTTTCTCCGATTCTAGCTGAGGAGCCTCAGAAAAGAAATGTAAACAATAACTATCCAATGGCTGTGGAATGTGCTCTGGAGGTTGTGCATCTTTCATTGGTCTTTCATTCGTGTGGATTGTTTTTACTTGATGACCAGTGATGGTCCAGCTATGTTGGACTATCTGAGTTTTTTGTTATGGCTGTGGAATGTGCTCTGGAGGTTGTGCATCTTTCATTGGTCCATGTAGATTGTTTTTACTTGATGACCAGTGATGGTCCAGCTGTGTTGGACTCTCTGTCTGAGTTTTTTGTGATTCATTCCATTCTTTTCCTTTCCAGCTTTCTGAGGGATCCTTTCTCTATACTTTTTAGTATAATTTTAGTATAGAATTTTATATATATATGAAATATATATATTTTATATATATAATATAATATCATATCATAATATAATAAATGAGCCTTCTGAAACATGGAGTCAAGATTCTCATTTCTTCCCTCGAACACAACCACACTCCTGCTTGGAGTGTAGCTTCTGAGTGATCAATTTGGCCAACAGAGAATTTATTATACCTCTCCCGCTGCAAGTTGAAGCAAATCTGAGTGTCTCCTGATGTCAATGGAAAACTTTTAGATGGCGTCTATAAACATCTTCAGCCTGACTCCTGATACTTGCACTACTGAAAACAGGACCACAGGCTTTATAGCATCATCCTGTTACTTTTGCTTCTAAAGTCCTTTATCTTAGTACTTTTTTTTTAAAATAAACTAGAAAGGAATGTAAGGTGCTATGATTTAGTGTATTAAAAGAGAGCCACCTATTTCTGAAGGCTCTTCAGCAGCTTCTGGATGAAAAAGAGACTGCAGAGAAACATGCCTGAGAATTGGCTCCCCTTCTTGTTCTCCTAAGAGCAATCTAGAACATTTAGAGTAGGATATCTGCACTGGAGGTGTTGTAGCCAGGTCATGCTGATATTTGCATGAAATTTTGGTGGTGGTTACAATGAGATGTCCTCTCCTATTTACTGTGTGGCAAGACAAGCCATATTAAAGCAAAGCTCTGGGGGAGACAGTGGACTGCCAGATCAGTGAGAAAAAGAGAACAACCTGTACAGGAAAGCTTTTTTTCATGATGTTAACTGAGGCTTTGCCAGAGGTGGGGTTTCTAAGCAGGGTGATTTTCATCATCACTGAAGTAAGGCCACCCTCAAAAGACCCAAATAAAAGAATAACATCTAAGCATTACACTGATAGACCAGCCTAACTCTTTTAAAAGAAAATTCAACAAAATCTAACCACCTGCTAGGTTAGGCCAGTTTCTATTGAAACACCAGTAACTCCAGTGTGGCTCTCGATGAGAGTTACACAACTGGCTGCAGGGGGTTGGATTATCATCTTTAGAAATTGGTGGTTAAAGACCCCGAAATACCACAGGATTAAAAGCAGAGCAGACAGAATCTCAGCTGATCAAATGATGCTGTCAAACACACAAAGTTTAATATTCCTTTCTATCAAACCCCAAAATATGCATAAAATAGTGGAAATCTGCTCTTTTTCTTTCTTTTCAAACTCATACTTCTCTATGGTATTTTCAGAATTCTCAAGACTAGTAACAGCAGGAAAATAACTTGATTAGAAGCTAATTAATGTTCTTTTACAGCCTTGTTTCACTGAAACATTTGTCAGTATGGCATATGTATTAAACTACTGTATTTTGCAATACCTTTTACATCTGCCTAGAATCACATGAAAAAGGTAAAACTAACATGGAAATACAGTGATCTTAATCTTCTGCAGAAATTTACATTTCCAGTGAAGATCCTCTGAGTTGTATTAGTAAAAAGTCTTGTAGGACTACAGAGATAACTAAAAGGTGATGCATTCCCAGATTATTTATAACACCTATACACACAGAGACAACCATTTTTCTCTTTGCATCAGTAATGGTAAGCATCCTAGTTATCTCCTCCTATTACATAAATCTGGATTTCCCATTAATTTCTAATTGGATGCATGCATACTAATATCATATTGAAAAAACCCTCCTGTCTGCAAGACCAAGGGATTCAGTTTTCCTAAGAAATCTCTTACACTTTTCAAAGTAGCTCAAATCATGCTTGGATAGCACTTGCATATTGGAGTAATACCACTGAAGTATAATATAATGGCTCCTGTGACTAATTCTGCTCAGCACAACAGAGAGCTCAAAAATTTGTTATTAAGCAACCCATTCTTGGACATAAATTAAATGTGCTTTGGTTAATTATGTCCTCTCCTTCTCACATACATGGTGAAAAATCAAAGCAACAGAGAACTGAATTGTAAAAACTGTAAATAAGACCTTTCTTTTCAAATATATACAATAACTAAGCAGTATCCTTTCTGGCCATAATATCAAGACTTGTGCCAATACACTGCAGAGTTAAAATAAATGTAAAACATTACAGCCAGAATTGAAGAGCTAAGCACTCACAGCAGGGCTTGATTGTCAACCTATCATGAGCTAAAACACATACATCTACTTCTGCTGAGTCAATATAGTTTTAAAAATAACAGATTCTTTTTCTAAAAAAAGGTTCCCTACTTCTTCAATGCTGTTAAGGTTAGCATGGACTATTTATAGGCATCAATGAAAAGGAGGAAATCTTACTTTGCTCTCCTACTGTTTGCCTACTGTTTGGTAAGAGTAGCTTGCAGGTTTTGTGCAAAATCTCTGTCATCTCTTGACAAAACTGGAATTATCAACAGGGGAGAATTGCATGGCAGCAAGATAAATCAGTGACATTACAGAATGACTTGGAAGGATGAAACAATTTGATTGACTGTGTTGCTGGACTGTAGCAGCCAACTTGGCTACAAGTATACACTTTCTCTTCCTTTCTCCCTTGCATCCTGAGAGCAAAGCAAGCTGTTATCCCTGGTGGAACAGTCTTTTGTATATCAGTAATCAAAATTGTTACTTGTTTTGCAACTGACTCACACAGAGCTCTCTGACATCTTTCATTTTCTTTAGGAGGAGATGCCTTTTGACTGACTTCATGGTGCAATTTGACCACTTCAGCCCAGGAGGAATTCAACCCCTTAAATCTGAGGACCAGCCTAAAAATGATGTGAGTTCTAGCCCTTGTTTCAACACAGCCAAGGTTTTGCTTTCTGGAATGGTGTTCTTTTTAAGCAGCTTATGGAGTTTGCACCCTAACCATCATCATGTAAGCGATGGATAATGCTGACATGACCAAAATTGTGAAGCAGGACCACTGTGCTCTGCCCCAAAAGTGGCCCACAACTTGCTGTGTTCACTTTTTACGGGTGCTCTGTGGCACTGGCAACATGTAGGTGCTCCAAATGGGCTGTGGCATCAGGGATGCACAATACCCTTGCTAGGTTAAATGGTTTTCCAGCAGCAATGATGCAGAGGCAGTGATGAGAACACCAGATTGAGGGCATGATCTGAAAGGATCTGGATTCGGGCCCAGGTGTCTGCCTGTGCAGGAGATCCTGATGAAATGTGCACATTTCTTCACAATCACAAGAACCACACACTGATTATCTGCTGCAAACTGCAATAACCTCTGGGATTTTGGTGCAATAAAATTTTTAAATCATAGTTCAGGCAAACTTCTGGAACAATCAGCAGCTAAGCTCTGGTGTTTAAGTTGAAAGTCACAGAATTAGCTGGGGGACTTTCCTACACTTTTCACATCACGAATCTGTCATTCATCTCTCCAACTGAAAAAAATTCAAATTTCTTTCAATTACTAGTACCCAATAACAATTAACAAAATTAGAAAGGTGTCTCTTTTATCCTTTGTTGAAACCTGACAGAGAGTCCTTTAAAAACAAAAAAAAAGGGAACACAATCCAGTAACTGTTTATCTTACCAGGTCAATGTTAAACATTTATGGTCAGAACTGTATGCCTGAAACACTTGATATTTACTCCACCAGAGACATTCTGAGTCAAAGTTTCTTGCTTATACCTTAAATTTGTAATACAAATTCAAAGCTTTGAAATTCACTGGGCTACAACCTTTAGCAACAAAAATCGTTATTGGGATTGGTGCAAAATTCATTCTGGAGTAGATGCCCATGACTATAGAATGATAGAAATCCTGCATGCAGAGGTGAACTGATACATAATTTCATGCATGAAAAACCAGAACTTATTTTAAGATTCACTTGTACCTTTTCAGTACCAATGAAAATGAGCATAATTTCACTTACTATTGGAAATGGAACTTATGACATTCTAAGCATAATGGCAAAACATTGTGTTGCTGTTTGAGATAGGGTGGTAATTTGAATAGGGGATTTTAAAAGGTAAGTTGGGAAGTGAGAACAAAGAAATGTACTTGTGAAACTGCTGTGAATAGACTTTCCACTCTTCTATTAAATATTTAACTGGGTTATAGTAGCATTTAAAGGCAGAAAAATTCAAGACCAACTATTAACATATAAATATAACCCAGCTCCTCAGTGCAGTTACAAAACATCAGAGGTGTTCCTAACTCAAGCCTTTGCTTATTTACTACTCTACGCACCAAAGCAACTGGTCCTGTAAAAGTGAGAGGTTTCATTCTGTGTCTCTTTGCAGCTACTCCTGAGCATGACCCTGAGAGCTTGAACAGACAGCAAGGTGTCTCACATCAGGGAGGCTCCCCTTTCCGAAAGCTGAGAAGAGCTTCTGTTGGCCAAGTGGCTTAATTCCAGCATCCAAAGGTGAGTTTGGGGAGGGAGACAGCAGAGGTCCCTTGTGAGGGCACTGTGGGGATCAGGAGAGAAGCCTGGTTGATCCACAGTCCTTCCCTTCCCTGAGGCTAGGGCCACAGATACATTCCAACCCCTTGTGCTGAGCGCAGGAACTGTGAGGTACCTTCCTTGCAGGACAAGGATCTTCCACACACACGTTCCTCAGCACCGTGCTGAATTATCTGATGAGGAGGCGATAACCTTGTGGTGCTGCCAAAAACTGGGACACGCTTCCCTTGTAGGGCACTCAAAGCTTTAGCTCCAGCACGTTCTGGCACATCCCAGCTGGCTGGAAGCCAACAGCTCTGCTAAGGCTGGTTGTGCTGAGGCAAGGCAGCAACACAGCAAAAGGCACACCTTGACTCTGCTGTGCCTTTTGCTGACGATCCATCCACATGGAGGAAGGACAAGCTCTGCAACGCCTTTCTGGTGCTTTCATGCAGGACATCAGGAAATACTCGCAGACAAACAGAGGTGCATTTCTCAATCTGCAGATATCTTCTCGCCAGTCCTTCGTGAAGTGTCTACCGGAGCTGGGATAAATCTATGACAACTTACATCTTTGCCAGAAAAAGGGTGGAAACTGGGAAAGACACCACACCTGGATGAAGAGCTGCAAAGGTAGAATGAAAAAACACCATCCTTTGCAGTGGCTTCTATTAGGCACCAGACAGAAACCCCAGTCTAAAGTTAGAATCTTATTAACTTTCATGGCAAAGCACTTGCAGAGCTATATTTGTAGGGATCTAGAAAATCTATTTTTGCATATGTTTTCAAATCTGTTTAATTAACATGGTGAAGCTAAAAAATAAAGAAACATTCTGCAGCTATCCTGAAAGTCTTCCCTTTGCTTCCAATATCTGTGGGTTCATGTCTTTCTTAAATGTGAGCTCATTCAAGTATTTTCACAATTCCCCCCACTTTTTTTTTATATATCCATTTCTTTCTACAGGTGTCAGAATACAATGACAGCTTTGTTCTTACTGGAGATAACTGTATGTGGGTAGATTCTTTTTCTTAAAATGCAGACTGGGAGTGGATCCAGAGGTCAAGCCAGAAGGTTACCTATATTTGAAAACCACACTTACAGAAAATCCCTTTGTGTAGCTTCTAATATGCCTCTGGATGTGAGTCTTGAAATACCTAGCTTTGAATGTTGCTCTCCGCATCACGATGTTCCAAGTCATAAGAAAACCGAGGTTCAAAGAGAAGGGAAGACTAAGAGAGTTGGATTTGTAACTATGGAACAAGTATTTTCTTTGCCACATCAAAAGCTCTGATAAAAGCAGTCCAGTGATTCAGGATAAGAGCATATTATTTGATGTATTAATTTGACAGTGGGCTAGCATTACTAAGATCTCATTTTTCACCCCATTACAAGATTGCTTTTGTGCATCACAGAGGACTTTAAAACACCCAAGACAGAGCTAATCAAAGTTCTAGTTTAAATGGAGGTCATGCATGTCTTCTGAGGTCTGATTTTCACATGCTTTTTTGAAACCACTTAATTCCTGGGTAGCAAAACCTGCTAGAATCTTGTGAAGTCCACAAAAAATGGATCTGTGCTCTGCAGACTTTTGAAAATGCTGACAATTAATTGCAACATGTATGGATTCTCTAAGTTACCAAAACCAAGGATGCATAACTGAATGAATATTTTAATATTCAGAGTGAATGTCATACCCTTACTATACTGAAACTTTATTTAATTTGGGTGAGGTATGTATGCAGATGATGCTACACTGGGAAGTGTAAGTATGGAAGACAAAACACTTTCAAGTTACATGGCCTCTGATAAAGAACTTAAATTTGAATCTCTCTGACACAAAGTCAATGTTTCTTCCCTTCATTATGCTTCTCCTCACAGAGGCATGTGTCTAAGGGGGGCTGTAGTTCCTAATGATGGGGAATGTGGGGTGTGTGAGCATTTTCCTAACAGATACTCCAAGAGAAGAAAGTACCAGCAATATGATCTCAAGAAAAAGGGAGTTAATAAAAACTTCTGCTTGTGGCCATCGGTGCTGCTATTCCCACTTTTCTTTTCTGGAGAAGCAGCAGGTGGAGGGGGGGCATGATTTCATTAAAGTGTTCTAGTTTTCTGGAAGATATCAAAATGTAGAAAGAATGTACAGTTTTTTTTCTTTTACGTTATTACATCTGAGAACAGTAAAAAGCAGTAGTTTGTAGTTGTGGGTTTTTGAAGAGACAAAACAAGTGAGATCCATAAGAGCAGCACACTTGGATGGGGAAAGATGTGCTTCCAGGAGCCTGTGCTGGGCTGAACTCTAGCTTCAGATTATAATATCCATGAGGTAGTGCCACACGATTCCTCTTTACAAGAGTAGTCCTGAACTCCTGCCAAAAATTCCTCTATATGCCACTTAGTGCTTCAAGACAAGAACGATAATGACAGGTCTGTAAAATCTGCTGGAATTGACAGTTCTTATTGTTCTGAAAAGTTTTCGTGACGCACAGGAATTTTCAGATTAGCACTGCACAGTGTTGAACAAAATGGGTGTCAAGCAAATCAATGAGCTTTTCACAATTCACAAGTCTATGTTTTAGTGCTGTTCCATTTTTATTCTGTGGTTGGTCTTGCTTTGTTGTGTGCATGTGCCATTGGAGATGTGTGTATACACTGAACAGGGAACGAGAGTTTTCTGTGGCATGATGTTCCACGTAAACCAAGCCTTAGCACAGAGAAGGTTTTTCTTCTAAAAAAGTGGGGTTTTTTTTCAGACATAAAAATAAGGAACTGTTTATATTTGTGTTGTTAGTCTTACAACTGTCTTCAATTCATTTGGAGGTGAACATATCGAGCCACCTTTTCTCCACCTGTGTGTAAAAATTTGTGCCAACTCACTTGAATAATGGGGTGAAAACAATATACAACTGAGGCAAAACTGAAGACTGGTGGCTCTAGCATCTGTTTACCTAGAACATGAATGACCACCAGGTCATTTTACAACTGAAGGAGGGTTAAGACCTAGGGAAATAATGAAATATTCAAATTTAATATCTCTCGACATATACAAAGCTTAGATCAGAATTTCTGCTCTATGCTTCCAGTATACACTGAAATATGGGTATAAGGCTCTACAAGCAGATAAAAGATAACCCATTAAGCTTAAAACCCATAGAAACAAAACAAAACCTCTGGAATGCCTATTCCATTTCAGTTTTCAATTTACCATCATTGAGGCAAATAGAAAGAAAAAAAATAACCTGCTCCCTTTCTGAAAATCTCACTCTTCCAAGAAAAATATAAGCATAAGACTGAAGATCAGATCAATGCCTGGTGGCATCTCGTGTAAGTCAATGGAGCTATGCCAATTTGGTCTGGCACCAAGCATTTTAGAAGACATATGAGCCCATCAAACCAAGTGTTTTCCAATGCAACCAATTAAAGCTACCCAAGATAGCATTTTTTTTTCAGCTTCTGCATCCTCCCAACTGCTGCCAGCATGCCACAGCTCTCACTGAAGCCTACTCACTCCTCTGTTGCTGGAACTCTTATAGCCTGGGAATCTGAAATGCCTCTCCCACATAGATCATCCCCAAGCACTAACAACGAGCAACAGTTCTCTGCACCATCAGGTCAAAAATCTAATGCAAGCATGGCTTTGACTGCAACACGGGTTTTTCCACCTCAGGCACCACTGGGGATTGAAGCCCTCAGACAGACTGATCCAGTGCTTAGCAGTTATAGGCTGTCTCTCTCCCTCCCTCCCTCCACAGCCCCCTCCTTTTATCTGCTAATGCACAGGGATAGACAAGCAAAAAAAAAAAATCCCTTCAAACAAGGTTATGGGAGAGAGAGGAGCTCCATCACAATACAGTGTTTGCCTAACACTGGTGACTAAACTTGAGAGGTTTTTGTTTGAACTATGTCCCTGGAGTGCTAACAAGAATAAAAATATCATCTTAAGAGTTGCAGTCACCTTAAAAGACAATGTTCTTCTATGCTTTCACATCAGCAATCATAAAATAAAGCAGAAGGCAGTAGGTATGGAATTAAAAACCCTCAAAGGCGCACTTAAGCTTCATTTTGATGCAACCCAAAGGTGTTAAAAATGACCAGCCTGGAGACAGGACCAACCCACGCCTAGGCGTGCAAAGGTCCAAGCTTTCTTACAGATTTTTATGGAATATCTTAGCCTAGATCAAAGCATCCACCTTCAGGATGGGGAGTGGGCACATCTCTGCCTAGACTGCCGTACGCAATGGGATTTTCAGCTGCACCAGTGCTAAGTAAATACAAATGAATGATACAAGACCCTGGGGAAGGTAACATAGCAGCAAAATACCTTCCTCATTGAAAAAAAACCCAAAAAACATTCTTGGCACTTTCATCACTGCTGAACAAAAACAGGTATCGCAATAAGAGCTAACAGTTATCTCTTTTTTGCATTAGAAAAATGCATATTTTTTTTTTCTAAGCCCAGTGCCATAGAATGCCTGGGGCCATCATTTCAGTAAAAGGTGACCCAAACACCCCTGGGAAACACAGGGAAGAGTGACTTATATCTGTGTCTTCAGAAAAAGCAATAAGTCAAGCTTAATAAGGGGTCCCTCCTGCATTTGTTATACATCAGGTTAAACACTCAAAACCACACAGAGGAGTAGTATTACGCACACCAATAGACACTCTCCCAGTATTGATGAACTGAATTCTATGTTCTGTATTTTTTTTTAATTTGTATTGATCCATCAGTTCTTCAAAACACTGACAATTTTTTTTTTTTTAAATCAACTCCGAGGCAATGCTGATTCCTTTAACTGGAGGGATAAGCTCCATGTACACACCTTCCTGCCACAACTTGCAAGGCAAAAGCAAAGCTGACCAGTTAAACCAAATCTGAAGAAATTTACACTCTCAGCCTGAGATTCCCAGGCAGCAATGTGACTTCTCAGCAGTTCCTAATGCTGGGAAATGAAGCTGTATGTTAAGTTCTCAAATGAACATAAGACACCAAAAATGGATCCCAAAAATGCAACCAGCTTCATACGATGTTTGCACCTAGTTTGGTTACTATAAAATACCTGACACACTTGACAAGCTCAGGAACAGGGTGAAAAAACAAAAAGGTTTTTTTTTCTAAATCTTTTTTTTCCGATGTCTGCCATTTCTCCTATGTATTTTTACAAACCAGATAAGATGACTACAGTCTCTGAGAGGGTTAAGCAGAGACAACCATGAGCTCCATGCAGCAAAAGCTCCCTGTCACGATAAAACATGAACAATGCTGAGCCGAATTCATGGCTGGTGTAAGTAACCCCTGAGGGTTGCAGAGGGACAGATTTGCACACACACTTCCCTCCCCTTTCTAAATATACTGTTTCTGCTTTACAGAATCAAAAGCAGAGTCCCAACAGGCAAAGAAATCAACTTCCAACACATGCCCCACAATGGTGAAAAAGGAAACTCTTCACACTTTTCATGTACTCACAGCTTTCATAAACAAATAGGAAAGCTTTTGAATTAAATGTGGTTTAAAAAGCCTTCGAAGAAGAATAAACCAATTTGAAGAAAAAGAGAAAATGAACAGGAGGGATAGGAAAAGCAATGACTTTTTTGCGCTGAACACAGTGATGAATGATGAGCAACTCGTGTTTTCTTGGCTCAGGGTCTGAACTGGCATTTGACAAATCACTGTAATAACATACCCGTTATTATTATACTGACACCAGAAATACTGGTGACTTCATGTGGGCACCTCAGACTTTTGTGCCTGCAACATTCT